CGCAGGACCCACAGGCAATGTCCCCAAGGAAAGGCTTCCTGCCCACGACTTGCTTCACCTGTACTCGCTTCCGAACATCTTGCAGGTGCTGCTCCAGCATCTGCTGCTTCTCCGTCACCACGGCGGCCGTGGGGTGGTTGGCCTGGCCCCCTTGCTGCCAAATAAGGGAGCGAACACCCGTGTGAATGCAGGAAACGTGGGGGAAAAAAAGCACCTCTGTCCAGTCTCCATCCCACCCACACCCTTCCCGTCTGGCCGAGGTGCTGCTGCCGCCGTGAGGGGAAGGGAAACAGAGGCAGTGTGCCGGGCGTCATCAGCACGGTGCCCAGGAGGCTCTCCCGTAGTTCTGCCCGTGTCCTGGCCTTTTTTTGCCCCAGGCCACACTAAAAAGCCACTCTGTGTCGCCCTAGGAGACCACATGTTGAGCTAAGACATGGTCCCTACCTGCAAAAACTTCATTCTAGGTAACGTATGTTAAAAAATTCAGAACAATTATGACAGCAGATTTTCGATGCCCATTTAGTGTAGGTGGTGCCCGACACGTTTTTGCGGGATAATAAAAAACCACTGTTCCAGAGGCGAAATGCTACATGAAGAGAGAACACCTCAGGGGAGAAGGGAAGGGTGGTGCCTTGAAAAGGTCGGAGAGCCCCTGGAATATAAACATGGTACATTCTGTCAAAGTAACAGAAAATCTGGGCTCCTGGCTGGCTCAGTCAAAGGAGCGTGTAGCACTTGATCTCAGGGTGGTGAATTTGAGTCCCACGTTGGGTGTAGAGATTACTTAAGACGAATAAATTAAAAATTTTTTAAAAGACCACATAAAAGCTGCAGTGATCAAGACAGTCTGCTGGCATAGGACTGAGGAATCCATCAACAGAATGGAATTGAGAGTCTAGGAAAGACATTATAGACCCAGTTTTTCAAAGCAGAAATTCGCAAAGACAGACTTCACACTGAGTCACCGGATTCTCCTGGCTTTAGGTTCTGTAATCTTGCAAACAGATCTCTATTTGTGCCGCTGGCTCATGTCAAGCCCCAACTACTGATCTCTCTGACTTCTAATCTGTTCTCTATACTGCTACCAGGAGTCTTCAAAAGTGATCCAAACATGCCAGTTCTAGAGGGATCCATTCTCTCCCTCTCCCACAGCCCCCATCCAAATCCAGAGAACACAAACTTCCCTGAGAAGTTTAGGGAAGGCAACCTCCACCCCTATTTATTTTCTTCATAGGGGGAGTGACTCATCTGATCGGTGAGATTAAGAGAAACACTCTGCACTCACAGATCTTCGAAGAACCCAGCATGTTAGCTGGTGCCTCTCTCCTCCACCTCTGCCTTCCTGGGGCAACCCAGGGCAGGAGCGAGGGCCTGGTTTCTAGAAGTGGTTCTAGAGATCCATCTCTCAGTGTTAAGTGGGTATTAGTCTATGGTCTCTGAAACTCCACATGGATGTATACTGCTCTGCAAACCCAATCTCTCCATCCCAACATCTAACACAGGGGCAGGCATCTGGAATCCCTCGTGGTTACCTGCCCAAACTATGTTTTCCAGTCTCATTTGACCAACAGTACAGCAGATATTTTAGTCTGTGTTTGACTGCCACGTCTATTTCTAAATTGCCATTGCACTTAAAGGGGAAAGGATGTGATTGATTACCACCCACAGAAGCCCGCCTCTAGTACCCTTGTAAGAACTACTGGCTCCCCACTGATTCCAGGTATATCATCTCAGCCCAGCACAGACAGACGTTTCACATAATCTGGTAACAAGTTAAGCCTTCCCTCCCTGTCGGTCACCCCAAACTACCCACTCTTCCCCACATACAGCATGTTTTTCACACTCTACCTCCCCACACACTGTCTGCTCTGCCTGACATGTGCTTCTGCACAAGCACACCTGAACTTATTCACCTTCAAACTCAGTGCCACCATTTGCTCTCCTGTAAAACCTTATTCAACTACTGTAGGCAAGATTACTCACATCTTCCTCTATGTTTCTCTCACTTTGACTGTCTGTATACCTTCAATCCCAACTAGACTGAGAGCAATGATTAGCAGGGATCACATCTACTCGTCTTCCTATCTCCTGGTGCTTTGCCCATAAGAGACACTTCAAAATATGCCAGATGATGACAACAGAGAAAATAACAGTAGGGCCTGGGCTGAAGCCTCAAATATCCAACTTGTAGTTCTAGATCAAGGGCTGCAACTTTTTCTAAAAAGGCCAGGTGGTAAATATTTTTGGCTTTGTGGGTCATACAGGCTCTGTTGTAAATACTCAGCCTTGTCACCGCAGCATGAAGGCAACCACGGACAAGGCATACGTAAATGGGTGTGGCTGTGTTCCCCAAAATTTTGTTTGCAAAATCAGGCATGGCAGGCTGGATTTGAGCCACGGGCATAGTTTGCCAACGCCTGATCTCTAAGATTGGGAACATCCTTAGGGCACCTACCTCTCATGATACATAAAGTTGGAGCCTCTGCCCAAATTGGCTTAAATCGAATATTTTTATCTTATGGGACAGGATGCAAACATAAAGGTTCTCCCCAACAGAAAGCTCTAGTGATGCCTGGACAACCTCCCTATCTCCAGTGTCTCGAACAGTGAGTGTTATCAGTTACCCTTTCACCCATATCGGAGCACGGCAGTTTCCGCTTAAAGTTCTTCCGTGGGTTCCCGTTTCTTACAGGAGTGGTGACAGTGATCATGATGGTGACAGTGATTGTGACGGCAGCAGCAGAAAGCAGTTAATGCTCATTTCACATGTGTCAGGCACCGTTCTAAGCATTTTACAGGCATGAATTAATTTAGCTCCATGAAGTAGGAACTATAGTCATTCCCACTAGAGGAACACCCCCATTGCCTGAGGCTCCACAGCAAGTGGCATAGCTATGGGGCTCAAACCCAGGCAGTCTGGCCACAGGACCCTTGCAGCAAACTGCTCTTCCGAAGCCCAGCTATTGGGCATGACTAAAGAGATGTTCACAATATGGCCCTTGACTAGCTGATCATTCCTTATCCAACCAGATGCTGAATTTTCCGCACTCCTCCCAAGAATACACACGTTAAGGGGCGCCTGGGTGGCGCAGTCGGTTGAGCGTCCGACTTCAGCCAGGTCACGATCTCGCAGTCCGTGAGTTCGAGCCCCGCGTCAGGCTCTGGGCTGATGGCTCAGAGCCTGGAGCCTGCTTCCGATTCTGTGTCTCCCTCTCTCTCTGACCCTCCCCCGTTCATGCTCTGTCTCTCTCTGTCCCAAAAATAAATAAACGTTGAAAAAAAAATTAAAAAAAAAAAAAAGAATACACACGTTAAGGTTTCCCTCTCTGAACACGATCTTCTCTCTGCCTGGAGGGCTCTCTCCTCATCAGCCTGGTGCACATGTAATCAGCCTTGCGTCTTGGCTCAAACACTATCTCTCTCTCCGTGATACCTTCCCTGACTCCCTCAGTTAGACTTAAATGTCCTTTCTTCTATGTTCCTGCTACATCTTTGTCTTGTAAGAGAAAAAAATGGTACACTTATGTTCATAACAGCATTATTCACAAGAGTCAAAAGGTGGATGTCACCCAAGTGTCCCTCAACAGACAAATGGATAAACAAAATGGGGTATACATAGTGGGACATTATTTAGTCTTTGAAAGGAAGGAAATTCTGACATGTGATATAACAAGGATGAACTCTGAGGAATTACGGTAAGCGAAATAAACCAGTCACAAAAATACAAACAGTGTTATGATTCCACTTCTAATAAGGTCCCCAGAGTAGTCAAATTCACAGAGACAGAGAGTAGAATGGTGGTTGCCAGTGACTAGAATAAAAGGGGAATGAAAAAGAGCGACTGTTTAATGGGTACAGAATTTTACTTTTGCAAGATGAAAAGCATTCTGGAGACAGGGTGCACAATAATGTTATTGAACTTAACACTACTGAACTATACGCTTAAAAATGGTTACGATGGTGGGGCACCTGGCTGGCTCAGTCGGTTGAACGTCTGACTCTTGGTTTTGGCTCAGGTCATGATCTCACGGTTCATGAGTTTGAGCCCCACATCGGGTGAGCTCTAGCCCCGCTCCGAGCTCTGACTCTCTCTCCTTCTCTCTCTGAACCTCATGGGATTCTCTCTCTTTCTCTCAGAAAGAAATAAATAGAGATGCCTGGGTGGCTCAGTCAGTTGAGCATCCAACTTCAGCTCAGCTCATGATGTCATGGTTCGTGGGTTTGAGCCCCATGCTGGGCTCTGTGCTGACAGCTCAGAGCCTGGAGCCTGCTTCAGATTCTGTGTCTCCCTCTCTCTCTGCTCCTCCCCCGCACTCTGTCTCTCTCAAAAATATAAAATAAAAATTATAAATAAATAAATAAATAAATAAATAAATAAATAAAACTAGATAAAATTCTTAAAATATTTATCCTGAATGCATTCATCTTCCTAAACTCTTGTTAGTTCCAATAGCTTACTTTTCTTTTTTTTTTTTCTTAGCTTATTTATTTTGAGAGAGAGAGAGAAAGAGCATGAGCAGGGGAGGGGGAGAGACAGAAGGAGGGAGAATTGCAAGCAGGCTCCTGTCAGCATAGAGGTGTATGCAGGGCTCGAACCCAGGAACCGTGGGATCATGACCCGAGCCAAAATCAAGAGTCAGACACTTAACCGACTGAACCACCCAGGTGCCCCTTCAATAGTGGTGTTTTTGTTTTTTGTTTCTTTTTAATTATTTCCCTTGGATCTTGTAGGAAGCCCTATCCATCTATAAATAATGACAATTTTGTCTCTAGCTTTCCAACATTTATGCCCTCATTCCTTTTTCTGTCTTACTGTATTGGCTGAATCCTTCAGAAAAACATTACTGGCAAGAGGCATCCTCAATCTTGTAACTGCTTTTAATGAGAATAGTTTAGTGTTCCATCATGTGCATACTGTTCTGTTTGATTTCTGACAAATATTCTTTATTGTGCTAAAGTTCTGACAAATATTATTTACTGTGTTAAGAAAGTTTCTTACTTCTTACCTAGAATGGACACTACATTTGTTGTCTAACAAAAGTGAGGGTTTTCTTCTTTATCTTACTAATTTAATGAATTACATTAATAGAATTCCTAATGTTGAGCCATCCTTGCACTCCTAGAATATAAGCCATGGTTGGTACGCTAACTAGGATACCAAAATCGTAATCATTTTCTTTACTTACACTGTCTTTTTTGGGTTTTGATATTAGGATTATTCCAGCCTCATAAAATAAGTTGGAAACATCTCTTTTCTTTCTAGACTTTGGAAGAGTTTGAATGATAACAGAACAATCCATACCATGAAAGTCCGTTAAAATACAACTTTTAAACCATCGGGCCTATTGGCTTTTTTTTGGTGGGAAAGGGAGTGTACAGTTTTTTAAAAGTTTTTTTCAATATATATTTATGGTCACTGATCTATTTAAGTTTCGTTCTTCTTTTTTAGTATATTTTAATTTTATATTTTATTGCATTATAAAATTGTTTGATTTTTCTGTTTCTCCCAGACCACAACCTCCTCTAAAGCAAGGGGTCATGATAACTAGCACAACACAGTAAGATATATCCACACATACACACATAATAGATTGGATGTTATAGATATTTTAGATATTTTACATAGATAATATATTAGATGTTCTAGATAGATATGTCTATCATATATCAATATAAGTGATATGTCTGTCATATAACAACAGAAGTGATGGGGCCAGTGGCACGGAACTGTTTCCCAGTGGAAGTTAGTGTCATGTTCTCTCTATCCCCTAGGCTAACCACATCTCTAGCTCTAGTGAGGATATTCTCCAACTTAAGCACAAAAGAGAAATGCACATGAACCTGAATGATTCAGTCTCAAATAATATCCAAGGTGGCACCCAGGAACAGTATCTTATCATACCCCAGTCGTGCAAACGTGAACTGGTACAGTCTTTAGAGAAGGGAATCTAGATCTATAAAACTAAAATATATATACCCTTTGACCCAGCAATTCCATGCCTGGAAATTTATCATAGAGAAATCAAAGTGCAAACATAAAGTTGTATAGGGAGACATTGCAGTAGTGTTTATAATGGGGGGAAGAAAACCAGGATGAAGCAAATGTCAAAGAAAGAATAATTGAATAAAGTATAGCAAATCTATACCACAGAATATTATTGAGCAAATAAAGAAAATGAGTTAGCTTTACACTACTGGACTTAGAAGGATTTATATGACATAATATTAAATGAAAAAAGCAAGAGGCAGAGAAGTAAACCCATTTAAATATGATGTGTGTGTGTGTGTGTGTGTGTGTGTGTGTGTGTGTGTACGTGTGTATTTTCTGTAATCTATATGAGTCTGGAGAAAGGTATGAAACCATATATACCACACTATTAATGTTGGTTTCCTGGGAAGAGATAATAAAGGAAGGGAGTGACATTGCAGATTTTTGTAAAACTTTCTTCCCTGTACCATTGTGTAATGTTAAAAAAAAAAATTTTTTTTTAAAGGAGAGTACATTATATACTCAAGAAAAAAAATGAATTCTTTTCATTGGCTAGAAGAAAAAACACCAAAATACCCACTTCTACCATGGAGGTCGGTGCACGCCCTAACAACTGGGTAAGAGCAAGCACATCTTTGAACGTCAGAAGGAAAGCACATCTTCAATAGTGCTTTGCTTCTTCCCACGGCTCACCTGGGCTGCAGTGGCTGCAGTCTGGAGCAGGCGGGACTCTTCCCACAGGCACCGGGCCACAATTCGGGCAATCTCCATTGGCTTCTCCAGATACCTGCTCTGTAGGTGGGAGAGAGAGAATGAAAAGTAGTAGCAGCAGACTAAGGAAATGCGGATCCAACTTTGCTAACTTAAAGCTAACTTCCTCATAGATTGATGAGCATTACATTTACTATATGAAACAATAAAACGAGGGCCTCAGAGCCTGACCCCCACCAGCGGGAGATGAAGGGGCGAACAGGAAAAAGATTGTCACAATGAGCTGTACACCTGTGACTGAAGACATGTTAGTCTGAGTCTTTGGACAGTATGTTATCCTGGTCAAAGGCAACAGACTTTGTCTAAGAGTATCCAGTTATGGTCAAACATTTAACATTTAAAAATAAGTCACTGGAGCACCTGGGTGGCTCAGTCGGTTGAGCATCCGACTTCAGCTCAGGTCATGATCTCACGGTTCGTGGGTTCAAGCCCTGTACCAGGCTCTGTGCTGACAGCTCAGAGCCTGGAGCCTGCTTCAGATTCTGTGTGTCTCTCTCTCTGTCCCTCCCCTGCTTGTGCGCGCTCTCTCTCTCTCTCTCTCAAAAATAAACATTTTTTTTAAGTTTCTTAAAAAATGAATAAAAATTAAAAAATAAAAATAACTCATCTTCCTATGAAACCACTAGTTACTGATCATGTTATTAACATGCTAACATAATATAATTAACATAACAATCCTAGCATTACCTCAACAGACAAAAGAAGTAGATTTCAGATAAAGATGCTCAAGGGTGGGTATACATTGGTTTGAGAAAGGGCTACTAGCTTCTCCTTTGAAAGTACAAGATAGGATCTCAATACTTAGCCAAATGAGAAAAGAAATACTTCCTGGACAGAAAGTGAACACCCTACTCTGCGGGGTCAAGTTTCTCATCACACCTGAAGGAACTGCTTGATTCTTCGCAGATTGTGCTGATAGAGAACATTCGATTCCTGTAGGAAACGGCTGTACTGCTGGTCAATCTCACCCAAGAGATTATGAAACACCAAAGTAGCATGTGATTCTTTGCTGGCCGCATATGCCCTAGGAAAAGGAAGAAGGATACAGAATGATTCTGAAACCTACACACACACATGTGCATGCACACGCATAGAAACCACCATCAAGGAGGGTAGAAAACAAGGCAAAGCCGATGCTTTAACCCACTCATCACTTAGATTCATCTTGCTGAGCAACAAGAAATATTATGAATTCAATGATTATTAACAATTATTCCAGATCCCAGTAGCCACTGTCAGAGTCTATACTTATAAAACTATTCAGGTGAAGTGGGCAGATACGCTGTTGTGCTTTTAAATTCTTAGCTCTGAGGTCAGATTAGTAGTAGCTAATAAGCAATCCCAGGCTGGCACGGTCTATCTCCATCCTCTCTGCATCATCTCCCTGGCCCCTCACCAAACTCTAGAAAAACTAGGTCACAGGCCGGAATTAAATGAAAATTAATAGGTGGATCTGAACACATTAAAATGAAGGAAACAGTCATTGGAATTCTGTGCCATTATCTCCTCTATGAAAGAGTCTATTTCTCTTATCTGTGTCTCTTCCTATAACTAAAAGGGAATCAGAATTATGGGCCTGAATCTCTACCCATGCCAGAACTTTCATTGAGATAAAAAACATTTGTAGCACATGCCTGGAGTGTCAGAACACACAGAGGATCTCACCAAGTCAATGAGATCCAAATCAGCCTTCAAAACATCCACCACCAAGCAGGCTGCTTCAGTGTGCCAAGAGACAGTTGCCCGCACACACTTCTAATACAGAAAACGTTTTTACAAGACCGAGAGTACCTCTTTATCTCCTGATCTCTTTCACCCCACCACCTACACCCCTAAGTTTTTTGATGAAATAGGTAGCACAGAATGAAGCTACAGCACGTTACGTCTCTTGACTCAAACCAAAACCTGACAATTTGGGGAGTTTCTCAGGAAGGACTTACCAATCTTGACTCTCAATCCAAGGGGCCAGAAACTGCCGCAGCTCCATTGGGAAGCTGTCACTGTACAGCTGATGAAGCTGCTCCAGGTACCGTGTGTCGAGCTGCTGTAGCTGATTCCATTGGGCCATCCTGCGGGAGTCAGGGGTCCCAGCTGTAAACCAAAGTGTTCATATGGTCACTGCAAGCCCAAGTAGGAGTCAAAAATCTAGAAACACCCCACCTACCCAACACAGGCATCAGGTCTGCGCTTAGGAATAAAAGATGCTTTGGAAAGGACCCTGCGTGTTTCTCCCCGTGTACAACAATACGTACACATTCACAGTCTCTAACTCTGGAACCACGTCGCAACTTCTTATTGGCTAGGATGTCAAGGTCAGCATGGCCTCTGCCAAGTTCCAGAATCCATTATCTACCAGAAGTATGTGAAGCTGAAAAATTACATAACTTCGTTTCCACTTCCTCATCAGAGGAAGAGATCATAATTTCTATTTCTCATGGTTGTTGAGATATTTCCAAAGAACCCAGCCCAGTGCCTGGCACACAACAGATGCTGAACAGATGTTAGCTCTTTCCTTTCCACCCAGTCCCCCCCTTTTCAGTGGTGAACTGGAAGGAATATACACCAAACCCTAAACTAAAACCAAAATGCGGAATGTGGCTGCTCAGGGAGGACGGAGAGCAAAACTCAAGGAATACAGGTTTAAAAGTATAAGCAAGGACCTGCCTGGGATTCTCCCACTCAATGAAAAGTAATTTTGTTTTGAAAGTTCTCATTCCGGGATGAGAAAGAAGAGATGCTAAATACCAGGCATACAAGTTTTGTCCCCAGGCATACAAGCTCATGAATACACCAGGGAAATGCTCAGGTATGAGAAACCAACCTGGCTAATCACCTTTAGTCCTCTTTCTGAATAGCTTGGGTCACGGAAATATCTTTTTTTTTTTTTCAAAAAAATTTTTAATGTTTGTACTCATTTTTGAGACAGAGAGAGACAGAGCATGAGCAGGGGAGGGGCAGAGAGAGAGGGAGACACAGAATCCAATGCAGGCTCCAGGCTCTGAGCTGTGAGCACAGAGCCTGACGCGGGGCTCAAACTCATGGACTGTGAGATCATGACCCGAGCCGAAGTCGGACGCTTAACCAACTGAGCCACCCAGGCACCCCCTTTTTTTTTTTTTTGAGAGAGAGAGCGCAAAAGCAGGTATTGGGGCAGAGGGAGGGGGAAAGACAGAATCTTAAGCAGTCTCCATGCCTAGTGCAGAGCTGGACAAGGGCTCTATGCAACGACCATGAGATCATGACTTGAGCCAAAATCAAGAGCTGGACACTCAACCAACTGAGCCACCCAGGCACGCCATGGAAACATCAGTACAGACTGAGCAGTCTTAAGAAGTTGTAAAAATGACTACGAGTAATAGCCAAAGAGTGACATATGTACAGATCAAAGTATACTGAGATGGTTCTCTGGGATTGTGAGAACATTTAATGAAAGACTGAAGGCACACAAACATGTACACTTATCCAGAGTTCTTTATTTATTTCTCAGAGGAGGCATGAAGAAGCACCCTTATAACTGCCCCTTTCATAAAAATTACGGAGTCAGGGCACCTGAGTGGCCCAGTCAGTTAAGCATCCAACTTTGGCTCAGGTCATGACCTCACGGTTTGTGAGTTTAAGCCCCACATTGGGCTCTGTGCTATTAGTGCAGAGCCCATCTTGGATCCTGTCT